TTTTTCTCCCAGCGGTTCTAAATTATTTAAATTAATTAATTTATTTATAATTATTAATGTTAATAAGAGATGGCGCCTAACGCTTACCTCTAGAGCCAAATTGGTTACGTAATTCATTTAGTAATTAGCCTTAAACTAGCCCGATAGATTTTCGGCATACGGTTGGTGTTTAGCTATATTATATATCGGGTTTAGCGATGTTTGTATACTTTTGCATTGTAAAAGTTTATTAAACCACTATTTATTCATTTGAAGTGCACAAAAAATTTGTCCTTAAATAAACTAAACTTTTTCAACCATATAATATGCATTTGAAGAAGAACCACCTAATCCAGACTTTCACTAATTTGGACTATGCTTTCCCCCAATTAGTCCAAATTAGTGAAGCACTATTATACAATATATATATTAAGACTAGGACATCGTACAACTTTGTCATATTGCAACAGAATGAGACAGAGCCAGAAAGAAAGAAGCAATCCTTGCACTTGTTAGGCATAGAAGAAACAATCCTTTTACCTGACAAATGCAGACAGGTAAACTTTGCACTTGCTGTCACAAAAGAGGCTATCCTTGCACAGAGAGATGATCCTTGCACTTGCCAACATGGAGAGGCAATCCAAGAACAAAGCAATTGCCATTGATTGCTTTGTTCTTGTGTTTTGTACGTTTTTTGCATATATTTTCCATTAGGTGTACGCAATGCTGTTTTTATTTTTAACCTGTGGCCTAAATTCCATTAGTTGTACTCAGTTACATCAGAGAGCATGGACATTGCTACTTTAATACCTCTGTATATCAAAAACAAAGTCATTTACATTTTTGGATTACTCATTGCAATTAATGGAAAATGGTAGTGTTTTCAAAATCATCTCATTAAATTTTGAGAATGAACTCAATTCTATAAGCCCATAGAAGGCACGCAGGTGACCATGGTACATTGCATGACAAAGTCACACAATTCATGCAATATCACTTTGTTGCACGTGTGTGTTACAACATTATATCTCGAAAATGAAGACATGGACCCCTATTTTTTATTACATTTTTGGATTCCTCATCGTAATTAATGGAAAATGATAATGTTTAATCAAAATTGATCAAACAGACTTTGAGAACAAACACACAATTCTGTTAGCAACATAAAAGAGGCCTCATTAACACACCACCTCAATTATTTTAAGAATGGTTAAACCAATTTGGAACTAGTGAATATTGTTATTCATGATTCAAATGCAATGGTTCCAAAACAGTTATAATTATTCTTAAAATAATCTTAAAATGCATATATACACAACATACCAATACCAGCACACTTGAAATTAAGAAACATTTACTAGTGTTGCAACGAATAGTATATTCGGCCTCAGGCCGAATACCGAATATTTGGCCAGGAGCATGGCTGAATAGCCGAATATTTGGCCAAACTATTCAGCTTGATTAACACACATACGAAAATTAGCGCACAAACTGCATTATGGCAAGGATCCTGCTCTCTATTGGCCTGCTGTCACTACGCTTCGCCAATCGTGTTAATTCTTGACAGTTGTAGCAGACAGACAAGAGCGTCATGGCAGTATGTGATAAATAATGATATCAAATGTGGATAACAATGAAATGACCTAAACATGTAAATAACGGAAGAAGAACAGAGAAGGACCACGAAGAGAAAATGTGAAAATAAATATGAAATTGAGTTGATAACATAATTGAACAAGTCGAAGCAGCTTATTGGCGCGAAATTCGCGTCTGTCAATGCCAAACAATTGTTGTCATAGACTTCGGAAAGCTAAATGCTTGTAATGAAAGTCACTTAGTGTGCACGGGCGAAAGCCTGGGACCATTCGGGCTGCCAAGCTGTCTCGAATCTGTGAAATCATAACTGTGACATATACCGACGTCCTATCTGTCTCTTTTCTCTGTTATCACCATGCTATGAGTCACGTAATTATAAAATGGAAAAACTACGACGGAAAAGTGACAAATCGAAAGTATCGTGAGCGCGTATTATGATGCATAGGAATATGTGGACTAGAAAGATAGAGGAAAGAGAAAGGAAAGAGCAAAGACGAGCATTTAAAAAGGATAGGCAGGGTCAGACCCTCAGATGTGCGAGGATTCTGCAACGATAGATGTGTACGTGTACTGATCTTTGTAATTATAAATTGTGAATACATGTGACTAATATTATTTTCTTTTTTATTTTGTGCATGTTACAAATATTACAAAGTTATAAATAAATATAAACAAACAACACTAACCCAATAACATTAAATCTAAATACCAAAATGATTAATTTACTGTGTTTTTGTTATTTCTTACTCCTGTTTTTAGGTATTCGGTCGAATAGTGAAAAATAGGCCGAATACCGAATAGTAATAGAATATTCGTTACATCACTAATATTTACTAACATTTTCATCTGTTACATGCCTGAAGATNACGATACGGAAGCCGTTTATGTGCAGATTACCTAGATACTCTGCAAATTACCTAGGTAATTTGAGAAATTGAACAATTTTCGCAGCTTTAACGGATCACCCTAGTTAATCTGCAGATTAGCTAGGTAATGTACACATTAACGGATTTCGAGCTTTAGCGGTAACATATATACTTTTCCACCTTAATATGATGCTGAAGATATTTCTGAATAAATAAATTTGATTGAATTTATCAGTAATGTTTTTTTTACATTTCTCAAAATTTATATGATTCTTTCTGTTTTACATATTTTATAAAATTATTACTTACATGAAATATCACGTGCAGGTACAGGTAGCAAACGATCAGCAGTTATAATCTGTTTCAAGCTTTTCCAAATCCGTGTTCTTTTTCCAGCAGTAGCACCTTTTCCAGACAGCTTTAATATTTAAAAAAGTAACTAATTAATTAAATAACTGAAAATTTGTAATATTCAGTTGCATAAATTTACTTGTGTGGTACTAAATCTTACAATATACAAGGGAGAGTCAAAAAGTAAGTTGCAATTGGAATGAACTTTTTGTTAATAAACAATATTTAGATGAAATATAGTGGCAACACTGGTAATACTTCAGGCTACAAGGCACAGCATAAATATTTGCTGATGTGACTACAGAGGTTAATCAGTTTTCATTTGTGAAAGATGTCACATCATTTAGATATAGCATCCAAATTGGAAAGTTCATGCAGAAACTTGTTTCTTATGAGCAAAAAAGGTATAACCTTGCTGAAATTCAATGCCAGTTGAGGAAAATGTATGGTGAGAAAGTTTTTGCATGACAATGACACACCTCATTCAGCAAGTGTCATGAAGGCTCTACCAGGGCCATGCAATATATTTTCTCAGTATAATGAAGTCTTCAAAATGCTGCCCCTTAAATGCTGATTATTGCCATGTGATGCAGCCACCTCTCTGTATCATAGCACAGTATGGCCTGGGCTCTACCGGAACAATTCAAATGGACTGTAGGGAAACATATTCCCTACAGTTCAAACCTTGAGTCTTGTAATTTCCATGCATTTGGCCTCATGAAAAAGGACCATTTGAACTGCCAATACAAGTTTGATGAAGACATCACAAACACAGTACAAGAATGGTTATCACATGTTGGACAGGAATACTTCCTAGAAGGTATAGAAAAACTCATGCCACACAATGATGTTTAAATAAACTTTGTGATTATGTCAAAAACCACTGGGATTGTACATTCACACATGCAAAAATTATTGACCCCTATGTTTCATACTTGTATTTTTGGTACAAGTGCAACTTACTTTTTAACTTAACCTCGTAATTTCAAGATTTTAAAATAAATTTTATTTAATCTAACAGAAAGTCTATACAGATAGTTTGTGCATAAAAAGTTAATCAAATCATCATTGAAGATTAACAGCATTATACAGTCTGGTTGTATACGTGAATATAAAATTCCTGCACAAATACACTCATTGACAAAAAAGTTATGCACTAAAGAGGCAGCATTGCAATCTTATGAAATTTTAATAGTTGGTGTTTACAATATCATAGCAAAGGGATAATTTTCTGTGGAACAACAGTACAATTTGAAGGAATCTTTAGTACTTTGTCCCTCTAATCGCTTCAAGCATCCGGGTAAAAGGAGAGAAGGAGAGGCTCTCCTTTTATCTGGATGCTTGAAGTGATTACAATTGAGCATAAAAAATATAAGCACTATATACACATATATAAACATCTAAAAGCCTGATATTTTTGTAATAAGCCAAACAATTGCCACATTTTTGGGCTACTTTACTGCTACTATTTTTGTTTTTTTGGTGCCTCAAATACATTTACTTTTTGTTTCTTTGGATAATAATTGCCTTTGAAATTATGCACACGTTTAAAAGATACAATTTTGTAAGAATTTCCTAAAAACAGTGTCAAATGATGCACTAGTAAATCGTAAACAATGATACAAAATGGACTTTCTGATAAGATTGCACCTGGTGGTGAACATGTGAAGTACAATCACATTCCTGACAAGTTTTCAACAGTCAAACAATAGGAATGGTATCACCTGCATTCTTACACCATGCTACAAATGAACAAAATTTTGATCATCATCATCATTTCAAAGTATAAAATATTATATCATTCTCCTTCAAGTTCCAAAGTCAAACAAAAGGTTTAACACTAGAACCACCAGTGGGATTATTTCTCACCCATTTACCTGTTTAATGTTTTATGAAATTTTTAATTATTACGGTAGAATTTTCAAATTTTATGTTTGTTTGTTGTTTAAGTTATGGCAACGCAACACTTGGAATGATCTGCCTATGGGGGATGCCTTCCGGGAGATCTTTTTAAGGGAAACTGGCCCATTTAGGCATTACAGATGTGGAGAAAACCCAGAAAACTCCATGTGGCCAGCCTGTCCGAGCGAGGCTTGAACTCATGACCACACTCCCCGTGTTCAAGGAATGAAGACCACTTGGCCATTGATGGGCTTCAAATTTTATGAACTTTCACAAAATTTTGGTTTCTATTTAGAATAAAAGAATCAAGACTGAATAAGCATTATTTTTGGAAAAATACACCTGTTTATCTAAAACTCCCAGTAACAGTCATTTTTGACCCTACTGTTTACCTTTGTTTAAAATATTTATACCTGCAAGAAAACAGTTCTTTTTAAAGCGAAGTGACTGAAAAAAACTATATTAGATGTAGTAGTACACCTAATATAGTTTGATGTGCACATGTGCTAAATATTTTCACAGCAATTATTACCAGAAAATAATTCAATACAGAATACAGTCATCTGAATGAAAAAAAAAACTGTCTTCAATAAAAAAAACTGTCTTCTAGAAGAAAGTTTTTTTTTTATTGAAGAAGACCAATCTGATGTTGGTGAAGATGATATGCAAGATATTTTGAATAACAACTTTGTTCCTGCCAGTGAATGTAAAAAATCTGATAGTGAAAATGATGTATCAATGAGACCTCAAAAAAGTCGTTTATTAGGTACAGATATCTTTATTCTTTTTAGTTGACTATTATAAAATAAAGCATTCAATTGTAACTCAACAGAACTGAGTGGTCAAGGAAAAAACAAAATTCAGATTCAGGAAATTCTCATTAGTTCAAAATTCAGGAGACAAAATATTAACTCTCAAACCTTAAAAGTCCAGTACAGGTATACCTTGAATTATGTCGTTCTCGATTATACGTTGTTTGTCAAAAAATATATGGAAAAATAAAAATCAAGTTTAAGTCATTTTATTCGACTTTATGTCTGTCCGCCACAAATATTAAGTCATAATATCACTAGAAAAGCGTTAAAGCACGTAAAATCATATTAAAACATGTACATTTACAGTAAATGTTAATATAATCATCATAAATCCTAGAGAACGAAACATGAAAACATCTGTGTTTATGTTGTCTTCTTATTTAGCAGTCTTTAAGTGCTCAGTATTGATGTTTTCCACATAGCTTCAATATCTACCATTTGGTGTCATTGTCGGAGCAACTCGATATTGGTAAATTTAATATAAATTAGTTTATTTTCTACTGTCGCAAGATAATTTTAATAACTGTATTTGTTATTTAACCTTACAAAATCACCTTATTTTATAATGTCTTAGAGCAAACCACATTCACAAATAAAAAGTCCACAATGTACTATAAACATCACCAAATTGTAAACATGTACATTTACAAGTATTGTACTGTACGTTCATGAATTCGTAAATTTAGATTACTTGTTTTCTGTACTATATTAAAAACTAAAATTTATTTGTTTGTAAGCTTAAAATATATTCTTATTAGCCATATATTATTAAAAATGCATTTATCAATAAAATACAGAACTGGTGATGGTTATTTGTGGTTTAGCCTAGTGACAAGTAAATTCGACTTACATCGTTTTTCGACTTAAGTCACATCTCCTGGAACTAATTACTGAGGTAAAGCAAGGTATACTTGTACTGACACCTTTAATAGAAAACAAACGTTTTTGACTATGCTCTGGTCTTCTTCAGGTTTGTAAAACCAGTGGGAATCGAACTTGTGAATGCAAAGAACAAAATTATGAAATGTTTTTTAAAAATATGGAACAGCACACATACAGGTTGATTTAAACATATGGAATACTCCAGGCACATGTAGAAAAAACTGTTATGTATGTGAGTTACCACGGAGATGGAATGATAGCAGTAACAAAAACATAGATGTAAACAAAAAGGAGGAAGGGGTGTTGTGGTTACTAATTGCTGGTGTAAGTGTTGTCCGTTTCTTCATAGCAGTACTTCCATGCATGAGACACATTGATGGCATCATTTGAGTTAATACAATTGGCATGTAATCCGGCTTTGTAAATTTCCAAAGCCTACAGATTTCAAAGGTGTTCACAACCCAGTGAGACGGTCTGATCAGTTTGCCACGGACCCCAACATCCTGGAGATCAGCTCATATGTCGAGGTCCGTGGCATAGGTGATAGGGCAGTGGTGTGCCTTTTATTATCGATGTCATATTTGTAACTTGCATCATCATATTATTTGCAACTTCAAATTATTAAATTTTGAATTATCCAAAATTTACATATTTCTTTAAAAAGTAAAAAAGATGTAGTTGTTTCCAAAAACTTGGGTGATCATCATATTTCTTTTAAATGTTCCTTAGTAAAAACTTCAGATGACCTGGCCTTTCTTTTTAGGCTATGTGGCCGTCCTGGAAAAAGTTCCTTAAAACATAGAAACAAACCAATTAAAAAGTAATAATTTTTTTTAAATTTGGATTTGATGACCATACGACATCTTGCTTTTTTCATCCTTCTCCGTTCGGGAGTTTTGGATCTTTATATCTACTGGAAATTATTACTTTTTTAAAAAAAAATTATTACTACTTTTNTATATTTAAATCATTTTTTAGGCATTTTGAAAGTGCAATTATATAATTCTAACAAATATCAAACTGAATTATTGAATTTTATGTAAAATTAATACCATGTTTTAAAAATTTTAATTCAAAAATATGTAACAGGTGATAAAAAAATACAAATATGTGATGTAGGCCTAGATTTAATATGCTCGGGCAAATAATGTGCAGTGAATACAGAATAAGATAATACAAATTCTAAACCGAAAACTAAACCAAAAACAGAATTTACCATTCAGAAATTGTTCAAATAATAAGAAAGAAAAACATTATTAATGACAAAAAGAAATAAGTAAACAGACAGTTTAAAATAAACCATTTGATAAACGATTTACACTTAATAACTTTTTAAAAATAAAAATAAATGAACAGATTAATTTTAATTAAAATTTTAAGTTTTTAATTTTAAAGTTTAAGGTAACTTAATCTTTTGTCGAATTTCTCATATTTCCATATTATTAGAATGAGAACCTTATTTGCTTGTTTATTCTTTTTTTTTATGAACAAATTATAGCATCAAAACTTTCAGCAATGAGCTCAATTAATAAAATAACAACCGATTCTTATAACATAAAGAGTGTATTTGAAATGCTTACTCTTTAGATTTTTCTTTAGATTTAATCAAAAATATATAGACCTATATTTATAATATATATATTAATATATATATATATATATACTCANGTAGAGCACTGGTAACAGGTTCCAGATAGTGTAACGTCAAAAGCACTCTCTTTATTTCAAAATACTGTATTTATTTGTGTTTATTTGCTGGAAATTTTGAATTTAGGTATGATTTGTGAATACTGTAGAGTTTATTACCATGATAGAGAACATTCTCTATCATGGTAATAAACTACTTGCACTATATAATATGTATAGTGAAAGTAGCAACCAGTCTGGAGAGAACCTGAAATCATTATATCAAAATGAAAAAGATAAAATCTTACCATTCTCTTCATTCAATTCATAAATTAAATCCCTTACATTTTGACTATTTTATAGTATAAAAAAATGCTTTCTTTCGTTTTTTGGCAACTCTCCTAACTGAAGATATAGTTCTCTTAAAAACTGCATAATAATAATGTATGTATATAGATAGGGTTGCCATATGTCCCATATATAAGGGGCTGTCACCATTCAGTCCTGTATTACTATTTGTCCCATTTTCTCCCTAAACTCTGAATGAGGCAGCTGGTGCTCTGGATCTCTTAGTCGGTCTCAATTGTTAGAGCATGGTGAATGCTAATTTGTTTCGCATGTGTGTAATAAAATAATTGCTTGCTCCTGCACATCAAGTCTTTTTTAGGTAAAACCATTTTTATACTTGTAATAAAAGATGCCAAAGAGGAAGTGTCATTTTAAAGATGAATATACCAAAAATTAGTCATTTATAAAGAAAGGTCAAACTGAATTTGAAGCACTGTGTTCTATTTGTAATTCTCATATTGCCAATAACCATGATAGAAAATCTGACATCCAACAACATATTGCTACAAACCTTCATAAATCAAATATCAGGACCGCTTTAACTTCTAAAGATATTTGTAGTTTTATGATAAGGAAAGATTCAGAATAAGAAATTTTAATTGCTTTAATTACAGCTGCTGAGCTGACTACAGCATACAAAATAGTACATTACCACCAATCATTTAACTCATTAGATTGTACTACTAAACTGAATGCATTGATGTATGCTGACTCAAAAGTAGCCACTAAACCAGGGGTGGACAACACTTTTTGCCCCCAGGCCGAATTGGAAAGAAAATTTTTTCCATGGGCCGAATCACAGGCTGCCCTAGGAAGATTTTGAGGTGGTGTGAGATCTCATTCTGGTGTCACCTTGTAGAGACTAAATTGTAGATAGAGATTACAGATACATTATTCACATTATCATGCTTTATCAACATTCTACACCATACTTAAGAGATTTGTAATGGAGGGTTAACTCTAAACATACAGTGAGTTTTTGTCTTTTTTTATATTTTTTTAGGCATCAGAATTTTTCATCGAACTATTCAGACTTGAGTAGTTAATATTGAAAGATTGATCGTGGGCCACATAAATTCATTAGACAGGCCGGAGCTGGCCCACGGGCTGTAAGTTGGCTATGCCTGCACTAAACCAAGGATCGCCAAACTTTTTAATCATCAACACCTACAACTTTTCAAAACCTCACATCGAACCCCCACCAAAAAGTTTGTAAAAAAACTCTTACTATTTTAATGCATTTCTTTTAATTTTACATTTATTGTACATGGTATATATGTGAAATACTAAAATAAAAGAACAGTGACTTAAAAACAGCTGTAAAGGGGCTAATAACATCAGCGTACATCAAATCAGACACAAGCTTACGAATGCTGCAAACGTTTGACATTTACTAATTAAGTAAGAACTTGGCAATTTCAGTCTGTCCCGCAGCCATTTTACATGTTGATGGGTAGCTGTACTATTAAATTCAGTGAAACAATATTCAAAAACATAATAATATGTATAGTTATATTTGTGATTTTTAGTTTCAATTTTTCAATCAACCCCCCAATAATGTTATATTGACCCCTAGGGGTCAATATCGACCATTTTGGCAACCCCTGCACTAAACAAACTACTGCCAGAAATAAGGCCACAGAAATTGTGAAATATATACTCGCCTCTTACAGTGTGCAAGGAGTTAAAGATTTAAATGAAGTGTTGTTTTTTGGAATAGCTACAGATTCCATTAACCATAATGCTGAAAAAATGTTTCCCTTAGTAATCCAATTCTTCAATGAAAAAGATGGACAGCAATCCAATTTACTAAAATTGGCTTCTTTATGTAATGAACTTTCTGAAAAAATTGCTGAGTATTATAAAATATCTCTCAGAAATCTAAATATTCCCATGGATAAGCTTATTGCTTTTTGCAGAGATAATACAAACACTAACTTTGAAGGCCTAAACTGAGCTGGAAGAAATAATATGTTTTTTAGACTGAACTCTAAATTGGAAAGAGATATTGAAGGCAATAAGCTGTCAAGCACACGTTTTGCACAACACACTATCAATAGCCACTGATGTTTTGACTGTCAATGTTGAATCAATAGTCATCAAGATATTCAAATACTTCAGCATTTACACTGTGAGGACTGAAAAACTCAAAGAGTTTTGTGAATATGCTGGTGTTGCCCACAAAAACTTATTATCCTACATTGTGACCAGGTGGTTAACACTTTTACCTGCTGTTGAAAGAATATTGAAACTGTAGCAACCATTAAAAGATATTTTTGCTAATGAAGAGAGACCATCAAAAGTTATTAAAGATTTTTTTGATGATCCAATGAATGCAATAATCCAATGAATCTTCTTGCATTCCCAGCTCAATACGTTTGAAACTCAAATTTAAAAAATAGAAAAATCAAACATCACAGTCCTGGAAGTAAAACCTGTATTACAAGAGACAAAACAAAATATGATCGATAGAAAAAAAATCCAATTTTATTGGAATGACAACAAAACAAATTTGAATCGCATAAAGCTTAATTCTGGAAGCAGCAGCAAAGTAAAAACTTTTGAAAGGCTATCGATTTCTTTGGTACTGCTGTAGAATATATTGAGATATGGTCACAATCATTCCAAAAATTCAATGCATTCGACTGGATGACTCGCAACCAAGTTCCTGAATGAGAAGAAACAGAACATACTATTGCATATTTACAAGTAAGAAACATCGATATTGGCAACACTGAGGTTCTATTCAACTAGTTTATATATCTAAAAATTTATTTAGAGAAAAATAATACCAATCAAAACTGCAAAGCAACTATGAAATTGAGTATGGAAGAGAAATGGCAAATTTTTTGTAGATAAAAGCATATTGATCAGAAGTCATGTCTAATAAAGCTATGCGAATATGTATTTGCCATTCTAGCCCACAATGCAAATGTGGAGAGAATATTTTCCCTAATGTCAACTCAATGGTCGGACGAAAGAAACAGGTTGTCAGTAGAAACAACTGAAGCAATTTTAATTTGTCATTATAATTTTTAAAATGACTTGCACCCAATTTTATAATTATGCAAAACAAGGAAATGATATAATTAAGAAAGTAAAATCAACTTTAAAATATGACAGGGCTAAAAAGGATTAGCCTTGCATCTGTTTTATTATTCTATGTGTTCATTTTATTAGATTGTTTAAACTTTATTGATTTTTTATCAGAGTAAAATAAACCATTACCTACCCACTTTTTTTCATGTTTTATTTATTTAGCACTTAAATAAATATCCCGTGTCAATGTTAGGCAATTATGGCAACCCTATATATATAGACCACTATACTGTTCATTAATTTATGACTGTCATGTTTCATTTATTCATGCTAGATTACTAGTGTCATGATTTTATATAAAAACAGGAGAGAAAAATTTAAAGGCACCACAACTAAATTGCTCATTCGGTATCTACGCCAAGAGGATATTGATTTGCCTTTTGCATTATACTATCTAGCGTAAGCAGAGAAAAACAGGATTATATCCAAACTCCAATTATAGGCATAGCTATTTTATAATTATTATTTTATATGGTATAATCATATTATAACTCCGATGTATGACAGAAACAATCAAATTCACTTACTAAACTGTAAATACAACGTACAGTACAGTATATTCAATAAAAACATGTTTCATTCTACTGACCTCGTTTGACTGAACATTACTACGTTTCTTTTTAACCATTCTTATTCAATGAACCATTGACTTCATCGTAAATCAATAAATTTTGTCATATATTTCTCATGTTCTCTAACTATAGCCAATAATATAACAAACACACATCCCACTCAATCTGTCCATCTGAAACTGCAATGATACAAGCGACATCCAGCGGTGGAAATTTACTTTGCGAAAATTTCTATTGGTTCCTACTCTTCGTGACGTAACGATACTGTATTTACTAACCGTACGTTTCTATATTCAACAGTTGACTCAACGGTGAGAGAACAACGTTTCTAAATGGACCGTTGAGTTCTCCGTTGAGACTAGTGACGTCAGCGCTGTTTCACCGTTGAGCTCAACGGTCTCAACGACCTGAAAGACCGTTGAGTAGTCAACAAACTAACATGGCGGCTTCCACGAAAAAGTAAATTTCGCTTATAGAAACTATCCATTCGCTGCTGTGGATGCTGTAATAGCGAACAGATTAATGAACAATCTGTATATGATAAAACACGTGATTGCACGATTATGTTGGATAATTTGGTCAATATTGAAATATTAAGATTTTTT